GCCGGTGGGGGAGAAATGGCGGCGTTGCGATCGCTACTAGCTCAGTTCTCGAGTACGGATCGGTGCCACTTTTTCAAAGCAGGCTTTATGGCAATTTCCCTACTGATCGGTTCTAGTAACATTGGCTTGACCCAAGCCCGCTGACGTCGCAGAGGCGCGGCCATATTCGCCCATCTCTGCTCAGAACTCGAATGGTATCGCCGATTCTGGCAAATTTTTAGAACGATCGTTAACCGATAGTGACCCGATACTGGGCCGTGGTGCCAAACATGAAACTGGACCAATATTGCGCGCAGTATTCCCCCGACGCTGGCCCAGTGTCGGCGTGCTGCCTGGGAAAGCTTTCAAAGTTAGGCCTTCTACAGGATAGGTGCCAATGTGTCTCATTGGGAGGGTATCAAAGCGGATTCTTTTCAATCAAAGTTGGTATCACCCAGGGCTCGGTCTTAAGTCCACTATTATATAATCTTTATGTTAATGACCTCTCCATTGTGGCACCAATTTCACTATTTTAAAGGGATACTTCAACGAAATTTGAAATATTCCCGTCGTGTTCAAAAATAGGTTGAATATGATCCACAATATCCGTAAATGACAATCGCACGTTTGTATTTTGGTTCTGGTGGCTGTATTTTTTGTTATAAACGGCCCACTCTGGCAAGCGCTCGGAGAAGGCCCAGCTAAGAGCACGTGACATCCGACGCAATCGTGACGTAGGTCGTCTCAAGACGAGCAAAGCTACGGCGAGGCTGACGTCGAGAGGATGGCCTAGTCGTTCCAGCCACCGAAGCGGCTGCTTTTGTACGAATTTTGAGTGACGGGTTAATCTTCTATAATCTTCTAGGGGGACAATAGCGACTTCTGCGACACACAAAAAGGATTCTCGGGAAGAGGGGAGCTCCTCCTGCCTCTCTTCTCTCGTCGTGGCCGGAGACGAGACAACCTCCGTCACTAGCTGTCAAGGTTCCTAGACGAGCATTACAAACGAGGCGTTAGCGACATCCACCAGGTGCTCTTTGCTAATCGTTTAATTCGTTTTAAAATTCCTTTTCGAGGCATTTTTAACAAGATATTGGTATGTTCCATGTGATACTGCTCTTTTGAACACATATAGACCAAAATATGAGCGCCGGAATTTCGTTGTAGTATCCCTTTAATATGTTGACGATACCGTTATTTTACCTGGAGCGTCCAATTATTCAGATGCCTTTTCGTATTTACAAACTGCGGAAATTAAAACTATGGACTATAGGCTGTGAAGCTAATTTAATTAAAGTTAATACATTCAAAACGAAACTTATATGTTTCCACAACCCTTTGAAAAAGTTAGTATGACCTCTTTTTTACGGTTACATACGTCTGGATGCTCATTAGGTACATGTGAGCCTATACAGCATACATCTTGTATAAAATATCTTGGCTTATTCTTTGACAGTGACATAACCTGGAACTCTCATCCTTCTCATGTATGTAAGAAACTTCGTGCAGTGTCTTGTTCATTGTACACGCTAGATATTTTATGGCACTATCTGTTCGAAAAATTCTTGTACATGCTCTAGTTTACAGTGTGCTCCGTTACGGCATTACCGTATATGGTCATTGTGCTCTCCGTTGGCAATATCGAATTAATTATATTCTGCGTTCTTTGTTAACGAACATTTCGTATTATTTATGCCTTGGAAATGACATTGACACATTTAAAGCGTTGCATTTGCCTGATTTTAACTCGCTATTGAGGAAAACTGTTGATCATGGGCATTTTTGGGATAGTCAATTTAAAGTTCTATATGTACCTCCTCGTATTCTTAGACCCAAAGACCGTTACCGGATACCTCGATGTTTCGGCAAGATTTAGAAAAAGAGCTCGTAGTTATTAGCATTTCTGAACACACTACGCTCTAGTATTCTTAACTTAAGAAGTCATTTTTTTATTTAAAAAAGTCCTAATTTAAGAACTCTTCTGTAAAAAAACTGTATGCAATACCAACGCGCTCCTTAAAAAAATGTTCGAAGTGTCAGCGTTACGTCCGACGTAACCCAAGTTACGTCCAAATCTCCGCCTTCCCTAGGTTCACGGGGGGAGAGAGAGGAGGGCGGGGGGCAGTGCTCCGTCCGGACGTAACGCTAGCCACAGCGTACACATCGCGACACTGTTAGCGCGAACACAACATCGGCGCCTTTTCGTATTTTACTTCTAGATGGCATTAGGGAGCACAAAATTTTATCGCTTACATTATAGAACTAAATGAGCTCTGTCCGTGACAATAATAACTTGGATGACATCCCTTGGTTTCAAAGAGAAAAACTGGAAAAACTGGCTATTGCTTGTTCGCGCTAACAGTGTCGCGCACTGTACATTCTATTCGGGAGGAGGAGCGACCGTGACGCCCCAAGCGGTTAACTTTGGAACTACACGGGTGGGGACAACAAATGCAATGACTCAGCGCTCGGCCGACATAACCGAACGCGGCGTCAGCATTCGGCTGGAGTTCGTGTTCTCCGGCGAGGGGGACGAGGGGCTCTTCTGTTACCACTCCGGACTGCATGAACAATGCAGCATGCATTCTGCCCAGCTCAGCACAAAAGCCCAAGTGGGTCAAGTTCGGATCCTCTGACAACTGCTTTTAAGGTAGATCCACTTCGTCGATTGTTAGTATTTCTTACATTGGACTGTGCCCCGCGCTCTGTTGTAGAAGATGGCATGGACATGCCCAGCGGCGTAAACTTTCCATTTTCGGGGGAGGGGGGGGGGGGGGGGGGGGGTGGGTGCTGCGCGTTACCTTTTCGCCAGAACTGGAGATTGAAGCTAACGAAAGCACGCTGGGATTCAATTTCCCATGTATTTTGTAAATAAAGGCAACCTGGGCGTCATTTTGTTTACATGCCACTACTATAGAAGCTCGATCGGTACATGGCACGTAAACAGCGTCTCGGTAAGGATCACAGCTAGCCCGGGACCGGGAGGGGAGGCGGGGGGGGAAGGGGGGGGGGGGGGGGGGAAGGGGGCTCTGCCCCTCCCGGATCTCACCAGGAGGGGGGGGGGGGGAGGCACGAGCCCCGATGCCCCCCCGAAGTCTACGCCTATGGACATGCCCATAAGGCCTGTGGGCATCTGCATAGAACAGCGAGGTGTGGGGAAACAAACGGGTCAGAGCGCCGCCTATATTTCGATCCGTGTTCGCAAAAGCCGGTGAAACAGATTAGGTGGGACTGTGCCAACGGGCCCTTTGTACTTCGAGCACTTGCAGCTTTTGATCTCCAGCATCTGGCGAGAGAGGCTTTTCGCCATGGCTTTATCGCCTGTCAACAAAGCGATAACGGCTCACCTCTGTGCTGTCGCGATTCCAAGGAGACGTGGCTTTGAACTTTTTTTTCTATGGACAGCGAGCATAATATGGTTAGATTGATAAGCATGGTAAGATAACTAATCAGAGTACAAAGATCAATGTCGCAGCGTGTTCCTGAATCCCGCACATCACTGAGTATGTAGGAGGGTTCAGAGTTTTTAAAAGCCCGCCTGGCACGATCTGAAACATCGAATGATTGAAAAGCTGTGAATTCACTAACAAGGGGCCAGTTAATTCGTATACGTGGCAAGAAATAGACTATGCTTGGAATGGAGAGTTTGATGGTAACGGGAAAACGACCTGTCCGTCCTCGTGTTTGATGCCTTCCCTTATTTCGAAAGATAAACTATCGAATTGTCACGCAATACATAGTGCTCATGTGGAGTGCAAAAAACCTTAAGGACCGTAGAACTTTTTAGCTTCCTCTATCCAGTGATGTGTGGAACGTGAATGTCTTTTACAGTTTGCTTGAACTAAAATGTAAAACTTGCTCCCCCCTTAAAAAAAAAGATTAAAAATAACTTTGTATTAAGTTTCCAGCTTTTAGTGGAGAACCAAAATAATAAAAAAATAACTTTGATTTTATAATTAACAGTCAAGAGAGAGAGAGAGAGAGGAACTTGTTGGTAAACCTGTAAACTTTCCATCGCCAGGAATATCGATCCTGTCCCACAACGAAAATGAAAAATGCATTCAACACACACAACAACCTGTGTTTTGTGCATTTAGTTTACTCCTTGGTCTGGTGCTTTCGGGGTGTTGAGGCCTTAATGGGTTGCTTGTACCTTACCGCTTACAAGTGTTTACCTTTGCAAACCAGTCCGACACCAGCTTGCAGGTTTTTTGAAATACGCCGTCTGCAACAGCCGAGTCCAAACTTCTCTACAGCAGCTGCTCCAGTCAGGAACGGAGTCGCCAGCTGTCCTTTTCTTCCAAGTGCTAAACAGTTGACGTGCTTTCAATGAATAACTGGAGAACTCGCGCGCAGCTGCACGTCTCACTGTGTGCCGACTGAAACGCGCTGCCATCTTTATACACGGGCCTTGAAATGCCTCATGCGCCTCATGAGCATGCGCAGCAGCTCTCTTCTGAAGAATATCAAACGCTACGCATGCGTCGTTTGCGACTCAGCATTGTTCGGCAGGGTGACGTGGGCTACATTTGCAAAACCTGGCCTACCAAAATTGATGCTTTGTAAAAATATTGAAGGACCTCCTCAATCAAAAGGTATAGATTAAAATTAAAATACTGCTATGGTTGGCCATGTTTTGTTTGTTTTGCCTATTTAAAGACAACAATTTTGGTAATATGTAATTAGAACATTTGATGTATAAAGCATAAAAAAACAGAGGAGACAGGAGGTTACTCGAACCACATTCTTATTCTAATTTATCAAATCGAATTAAGCTTTTTTTTTCTTGTTGCTCAGATATGAAATTAAACTCTGAGCTCAGTTTGGTTGATACAAGATATTTCAATGTTTTCACAAAGAAGTGCATAATGTTTTTGGCCCCTTTGTAACAGAGAGAACCGTCATAGACTGCAAGTTAATTTTTTGCAAGGGGTTTAAACTGAGTTCGATTCATTTGGCCTATGTAGCAAAGTGCCAAAACAGGACTCTATTGCATTTCACTACAAAAATGTGTTAATGCCTCATGTGAAAAATGTTTATTTACAAAAATACGAATAGTTTCAATGGCACAACCATTTAATGTACAAAAATAGGAATAGTTTCAATGGCACAACCATTTAATGTACAATATAGCAGGCAGACAAACTTGTCCACCATAAGTAAAGGGACAGATCAGCACTGTGATTGTGAACAATACACAAACATTGATGCTGTGCAAATGTTGTCAAACTATGAGCTTGTCCCTAAGAAAAACACCTAAAAAAATGAGGTATCCTACTAGAAAACTGCACCCTTCATTCCCTCAAACAGATACAAGATAGAGGTGCACAGGTAAGTTTGTCTATATGTACATGCCGAGATTGATCCATCCATCACAGCCTTCTTGTCGATGTAAACATAAATGTATGATATTCAAAGGCACATATATTTAACAAGATGAGGACTCTTCATACTTCCCTTTGTATAACTGTACACATCACCCACCATGGCAGGCAGATATCTTGAGCAAAAGTTGCATGGCAATTGAATTTTAGCAACTCAGAAACAAAACGAAAAAATTCATCTGTTCACTCAGATCCTCTATGAAAATAAAAAAATACATATAAGTACACTGCTACAACAATTGACTGACCTCTCCGATTTGCTAAAATAAACTCGAGATAACTGGCAGCCTATAATGCACCATCAAGTGAATTGTGTACGCTGAAGTCAAATGTAATAGCCATGGGACTAGCCCTACTATTAGTCTTGCACACATGAAACATTCTGGTATGCCAAGCAGTATTTTGAGAGCAACACTTATGAAAAAAAAATAGATCCATCACTAGTCACTAACACTAGAGAATCTAAGGGTCTTGCATGTTCAGATAAAAAAACAAAAGCTGACTTACTTCCAATGCAGTGGGGCTAGGTTACCTCAGTAATTGCTGTTGTCAAGGTCAGTCAGTAATATTCACAACAATTTCTGGTTGTAGTCATAATCACTCTACAGTAGGACACCTCAACATAGAAATACCTAGAATCCTTTTAAGTTAAAGCATCTGAAGACATCTTCAAGAGGCACTCAGCGGAAGGTCAATCATTATTGCAGTGACATTACTCGTCTCGTTCGGAGGCGTACCACTTCCTGCTTGATCACCCTCAGAAGGCAGATTGTGGCAAGCAGGTCCGCAATCATCACCATATAGAAGACAGTGTTCCAACCATATGACACAATCAGCCCCGCTATGAGGGGCCCCACGGCTGCACCTATGGACCCGGTACCATCTATAATGGCCGTCACAGTCGCCAAGGCCTTGGCATTGCCCGACACACTGAGATGGGTCCCCAGTTCAGCTGAGACAGCTGTGGTGATGAGGGCGTACGGTCCGTTGATGAACAGGCCAGCCAGGAACTGGAGGAACATGTTCAGACCGAGGCTCCAACTTCCAAAGACCTCATAGATGAACATCATTGGGATCGCCGCGGTGAGGAACAATCCACAGATGAGGGCACTAGCCCCTGTCCGATCCGACAAGTAACCGGCCAGGATGCCTCCTGCAATGCCGCCGAAGTCGAACAGGGTCGAAAGGAATGCAGAGTGGGCAGAGTCAAAGGTCGTCGATGCGTGGATGTAGAAGGGCAGCCAGAAGAGGAAAGTGTAGCTGACCAGCTTTGCAAAAAACAGCGCCAGAGAGAAGTCGATGACTCCTGGTATGCACAGAGCCTGGATGAACGTGACGGCCTTCTTGTCGCTTTCCCGCTTCAGCTTCCGTTCGAGCAGGTACTGCTGCTCCTCTTCGGGAAGGAGGAGACTCGACTCGTCGGAATCCGTCCGCGGTTCCTCTTCAGCCTCGACCGCGATGGGGGCAGTGGCAACGGTGGAAGACAAAGACGCCTGCAGGGACGTGGAACTTCGGCGCGGCGGATCACAGTTCACTTCCTCTGGATACGGCGTGAGAAAGAGTGCAACCAGGACGCCTACGAAGCCGCATATGGCCGCCGGGACCACGAACGACAGACCCCAGTTGGAGGAGACAAACACCCCGGCGACATACGCGCCCACGATGTTACCCACCGAAGTGTGCGCGTTCCACACGCCGAAGATCAGTCCCCGCTTGGATTTGCCGAACCAGTTGCCGACGCAGGTGACGACGCTCGGCCAACCCGTGCTCTGGAAGGCGCCGCCGATGAGCTGCACCACGAAGTAGTAGCCGAAGTTGTGGATCTTCAGACTGTAGCCCAGCCCGAAGAGATGCGTCGTCAGGGCGCTCATCAGCAGTCCCAGCGCCAGAAAGTAGCGGAGGTGCATCCGTTCGGCGACAAATCCGCTCACAAACATGCAGATCGCGTACGCGAAAAGGTAGCTCGAGTCCAGGTACGAATAAAGGCGTGGCGCCTCGTCGCCCACAAAAGGGGCCCAGTCGCACCAAGTCCTGCTCGTGTTCTGGGTGACGATGATCGATGGGTCGGGCGCGACGAAACGGCAGTCTTCGTTCAGCACCGACTTGACGATACTGAGCGGCCGCCGTGTCATGTGGTAGCAGGTGTAGGCGAGGAAAGTGGCGACAAGGACGAAGGCTCTGTAGTAGGATGTGCGGCGATTAGGGTTGCTACAGCACGGACCGAGTAGACGTTCCATCACCCGGATGCCCCATGGTGCGGATGCGGTGCCCGTCATCTTGAAGCGCGGACGACGCACGGTTGCTCGGATCCGACGAGTTGTGGTCAGGCGAAAGCTGTCTGGCGAGAAACTACCATCGGGATCGGGAGAGTCCGTCGTATCAGCTTGGGGGCTTGGCCACGGATAGCCTATCCGTCTAATCGACGGTGGTCACACGGCCAACACAACGGGATACGATCATACAATGGCATTTTGAGTGTTTTGAGCGCGAGGGCAGCCGAGGGGGTGCACGGGAAAGGAAAGAACAGAGGGAAGAGAGAAAGATAGCGCGTTGCCAGACGACTCCGTTTATCGGCCTGCCGGAAAGATCACGTTGGAGGCACAGGTTTGCAGATAGCGGCATGTAAAGGCGTTATCCGGTCTCCGGTGGGGAAAAGAAGTAGACGCATTAGGGCGCAATTATACTCCTGTTACGATAAAACATTCTACGTACGCGAACCCCGGCCCGCGAGACAGATTTGGCCCGCGGAAGTGTTCCGGCCGTCCCGCGGATTGTGGCGCCAAAAGCAATTTAAAAACGCAAACAAAATTATAATAAAGAAAAAAAAAAAATAAAGAGAGAGAGAAAAAAAAGAAAGAAAACTGTAGTAATGTGCGAATATTCGAATAGTAGTTTTAAATAATACGCTATTCGATATTCGCTTCGAGGTGATCTCTGATATTCGTATTTCTCGAAGTGTCGACCGCGGCGAATTAGCCCCGTTTAGCGCGCTTCCTACCCAGCACTGGTGCACTGCAGAGAAGCAACACCTGCGGAACTCGCTTCCGTGGCTGTTGCTTCTCCGCAGTGCACCGATGCTCGGTAAGAAGAGCGCTCAACGGGGCTAACCTGCTGCGATCAACGCTTCGAGGTGTACAGTAAAAGTTTCTAAATTACTGGCTATATAATGCAAGAGCCTGTGTTAAGACTCTGTTATACTTTAAGGTTTAGCGCAGCGAACGCAGCGTAACGCAGAACGTGGGCCCAGTCAATAAATATAGCTAGATTAAAATTAACTTAGCATATACTTGGAGAGGCTTGGGAACAACCTTTAAGAGTTCAGAGGGGCTTTCGTTTAGGCATGGCGCAGTAGTGTAAAGCTTGAAGAAACCATTCGATATTCGATTAGAAAATATTCGGTCAAAACCACTATTTGGTTCAAACTCAAAATCCACTATTTGCACGTCTAGAAAACTGCACCAAAACGCCGGTTCTCTCACCATGTTATTTATTGTACGTTGTCGTCACTAGAACTGCCATTTGTATAGTTCCCTCCTTCATGTAAGCGTAGCTATGAAAAAATTCCTTCTAGTTGCCTAGTGATCTCATCGGATTTACCATTTTTATTAGTCTCCTGCCTTGTGTAAATATGCCAAAGTTCTCATGCACTTTGATATATGACGAGCGAGTTTTCGGGGTCACAATTATTTTGTAATGTCATGAATAATAAAATATTCCACTTAAAAATTAAGTATATGTAGTTATCCAGCTCGCATTTTGTTTTTTTAATTCATGCTCTAGTTAAAATTTTTCCATTTAAATGATGATTTAGGCTCTTTCCGGCCCTCGAGACTGGTCCTCAGCACAGTTTCTAAGGCTTGCTTACAGTGGCTGTAGCAAAACGGGTGGTGTCAAACGTCACAAATATGTAGGTGCCCACTGAAGAAAAATGCAAGGATGCAGGTAGCTGCAACTATATCTTGGGTGCAATTTTGGTAACTTCAATCCTCGTGAGCTAGCGGTCTACAGCTACTTTCCACGTCTCTTTAGCAGACTGAAAACAATGGTTGTTGGAAGCTTACTCAATTGATTTCAGATTTTATATTTTAACATTCATCACACGAGCAGACAAAAGCATTAGTGTTAGAAACATTCATACTCAAGTTTCCCACAAGGTCCACAGTGAAAGAGTCTCCCAAACTTTTGAGACGGACCAAAAGTCCCAGTGATCTGACAAAGCAATAAAGGCAACTCAATCGAAACCAGGTGGGCACATATTAACCGCCTGCCCGAGATCTGGGAAGCAAACATACTTTTCGAGGCATCCAACTGTCTCCGAGAATATTCAGGCACCTCCCAAAAATCCTGAGCAAGCACCCACCCAAACTTTGGAGATAATCCCGTAAAACTGGGGGATGGGCACTTCTTAGGTCGACAATATGTAAAGGTAGGTCCTTTGCGTGTTTGCTGAAAGTTACAAAAAATGAGGAGTGGGCGCTCATCGTGGAATGGGCGGGTGCTCAGTATTTCATGGTAGATACATATCTGTACGAGCAACTTAAACTTATCGGGCATATTTATTGAGCCCCCTCAACGATCCCGTCACCCGTGCACATAAACCTGCAAAAAGACAACTCGTCGAGCATTCCCGGAAGCTTAAAACCATCCACGGCTCGAAGCTTTCAAGCTGAAGTGAGGAACCAGCCACAGCAGTAAATACAAAGCAAAATAGTTTTATTTGCAGAACATTGCATCTCTTTCGAGGTCTCGCTCCGCTATAAAGGGCGGTCTTCATACCCTAGTCTCGGGTAACAAAGCATCACGATAAACTCTACCAGCTTGCCTGCACTCTCACTGCTTTTTTGCTGAGCGTTCTTTTCTCGCGCCACTTGGAAGGGGATTGTCCCAGAGACTCAGTGCCACGAGTACTCTTTTAGCTGCTGAACATGTCCTGCCACAAATGTCCTTAGCAAAGAAGATAGAAGGTAGGTAATCTTAAATCGAACAAGTCTATCAAAATAGGTATTTGCATTTGTCTAAAAATATATATATATATGTAATAGCCCCCCTTCTGTAATAAAAAAAGCTGCTTCCTAAATTCAATCAAATTAATTTCTTTCCAGGAAAGTTCTTCGGCGGAGCAAGGAGAAATGTTACATCTCGGCCGCCTATTTTTGTGCCGAGTTTTGTTGCTACAAATATGTAAAAGCGAAAACACTCGCGACAATCTTATTCATTTTAATGTATGATGTGCAGCCTATTTATTTTTTCTATACGCTAAACTAATTTTGCATATCTCGTCTGCATAATTTCATTCCTTGAAACATGTACTTTGGCTGCCTTAAAACTAACCGAGCCTGTGGCACGTGGAAGCTAGCGAGTGCACCGAGACAAGGATCTCTTTCACCTTTCTAACTTCAACAAGCAGCCCCCACCTCCATATACTGTTGCAGGTCAAGAAAATACAGGAAAAGCTCCTGCCATAAGGCCCTCCACGCTTTCCACTAAAAGGCGGACTACCAAACCTGCAAGGCTTACCTCCCACGTCTTCGAAAGAACCTTCCAGGACCAGGAAACGAGAACAAAGTTTGTTCCTTGCACTGCGCGGTTATGTCTTCGCTGGGTGCTTCTTTGATCAGCGCAATTTGCAATCAATGTAAATGGACGTTTGTTTTTAAATAACTGCTGCCCCCTGTCAGAAGCCTGGGTCGGAATGCACCGGTATGAAAATTTCAGGGCCACGAGGAAGAAAGGGTAAAGAAGCTTCTTTGTACAAACTTCGGAGCGAAAGATAAGGTGAAGATAAGCCACAATGTGTACAAAGGATACAGTGAGGGAACTCAATCACTCACAGGCCACTGCATCTAGGAAACGGGATCCAAATCCCCCTCTTGGGAGGCCGTGGCTTATTTCGCTCGAACACGCAATCACGTGTTTTCATACTCGCAACTTTCCAAACAGCGTCTGCGTGGGGCTGTGCATGCGCAGACAGCATTTTCCAAACTCGTGGATACCTCCTCGATAAAACAAAACAAAGCACTAAAAAACAAAGCACCGCTTCCAATCATACTTAGCAATGTCCCCCCCCCCCTCCCCCCCGAGAAAAAGAAAGAAAAAAAACGCCAAGGGGAACATTTAAAGAAATACCAGCGCACGGCATGCTGACTAAAAACCTGCACTGACGCCAACTGCATTGCAACTCACAGACTCAATGCCGCTTGTAAATCATGTTGGGGCTACTCTTTTGTATCGTAATCCCCCTTTTTTTTTTCTAGCTAGAGTCTATGGCTTAGCCACTGTGGGATTATGGGAGCAGGGGTAGGGCTCTGGGTTAGGGGACAAGGGGGAAGCAGGCAACGGTGGGAAGGGTAGAAGGAGGGGTGAGGAGGAAGCGAGGGAAAAGTGAAAAGCGCGAAGTGGTAGTCGGCCTTTAAGCAGAGCAAACCTTGGAGGGAAGGAAATCACCAATCATGGCAAGCAGAGATCTTTATGGGAAGGGCTTGTTTAACCCACAAGAGATTATAGCACCAACGTTGACATCATAACCAATTGCACCGAATCCAACAATGCAGCCATTTTTTGTCACCAAAGTTTCTAGTTGTCGGACTTGAAGAAACCGTGCTTCTCGCAGAATTCACCAAAGTCCTCGTCGGCTCTGCAGACCAGCACGGAGCTTGGGAGCTTCGGCGTGAGCAGGGGAGGCCGTGGCAGTGACGCCGCCACCTGCAATGTGGCAGAAACGGGAACCACAGGCGCAGCCGAGATGCCGCACGCCGCCATCAGCTTGTTTTTCCTGTGTTCCTGTGACTCGTAGTGGCAGAAGGCCGCGTGCATGCTCGGGAACTCTGCAATGTTGCAAACGGGGCAGGCCACCGTGCCTGCATTGAAAACCACCATCGCACGTACAGTTGTGCAATCAATGAGGGAAGCGGCATTTGATCTTTTGTTCTCTAGGAGGCAAGATATTGTTTTGGAACGCTCACTGACGCTTTTGGAGCAGATACTAACACCTGTTAGCACATCATTTGAAAATAAAAAAGTGATTGCATCGCTAAATAAGTGCATCTTTGATAACAACAGAGGGCTCCTCTATGACAAGGGTTCTCAAACTTTTTAGCCTCACGGAACCCCAGGAAGCCTCAAAAACTGCTGCGGAACTACACTGAGTTCGCAGGTGTCAAAAATGGAATCCCATACGATTTAGTTCAGCGACGTATCGTCCACAACAAGTTTTTTTTCAGGGATGATTGTTAAAAAAGAAATGTGAACATCGCAAAATGCTTGACAAAAAAAAACGGTACACCCACACCAGGGATCGAACCCGTGCCCGCTGCGTATGAAGCGGACGTCTTTCCACTGACTCTTTCAAGCGTAGTAATGGAGCTGGTAGACTGTATGTCGGAATTTTGCTGCCGATTTGCTTTCAATACATGCACTCCCGGCTCTAAGTCGGGCAGCACCACGTATTGGCCACATTCGCACCTAGTAAAGAAACCGCGCGCGTGCGTATTCAACTCCAAGTACGCACTTTGTGCTTGACGTTTGAGCGAGCGATGACTTCAGCCACGTGAAGGGACGACAGCTCAGCGACGTCTTCGTGCAATCGGCTTGCTGGTCGGGCGTCTCGTACGGGACGAATATCAGTTCTTTTGATCGGTCCAAAATTTCTCTATTGAAGGAAGCAGAATTCGCCGGCACCGTGAACATCAGTTCTGAAGTAGAGGTCCCACCACCGTCGTCCACTGCCATCCGTTAGTCCCAAGATACGCGAAACGACGCCATGTTGACGCACAGAATGCTTCCGGTTGTCTGTGCTACTTTTTTTTTTTTTTTTTTTCAATCAATGTATTTGCAGCTTTTTGGAAGCCACAAAAAAATGGGTTTCATGTTTTTTTTCTATTTTTAATATTGACTGTGTGCCTTCAATGACCCACGACTTTGATTGAACTTGGTGGTCACGTTGAAACCTTAGAAAATGGCCTGTGACCACGGGAAAGAGAGCGAGCTTGACTCATACTCGGGCGAAAAGAAACCGAATTTCGAGCCGCAAATTCTGTTCTGGGTAGTTGGGCTCTCATATGTCATGTACAACTAAAAACCTCAGCGAGCATAAATACCCTGTCAGTTCCCTCTAAGTGATACGGAAGCTAAAGGAAAGTTTCGTTCTAGGTATCCTAGCATGGAAGAGGCTTTAGCAAATATGTGATCAGTGTGGATTTTCCAGGATAAGTTATAAGTAGAGTGTGTATTTTCCGGTTTTAACCAAAAAACAACGATAAACATCCGTCGGTGACGAAAATACAAAACCGGTTAAAACCGAAAAACACCAGTGGTTAGATATTTTCGCCCTGGTTAAAACCGAAAAACACCAGTCGTTGCATCTTTCCGACCTAGCGAACCCCTTTCCCCGTAAAGTTCGTCAAACGTGTTATCTCGTGGATCCTGCATTCTTCCAGTGTCTATACATGGCTTGCACGTGGCGTCAGTCCGCCCTCCTCTCTCCCCATGGTGTCTCCCATGGCTCCCTTTTGTGGAAAAATTAACGCAGTGGAGCCTACGCTCTCACGCGCCCTTTCCCCATTGCGTCTGGCCAAGTGATGTCGGTGCAAACCATGTATTCAGAGGTTGCTGTGGTTCCTGGAAGACACTGCCAACATCCGTGTCGTACAGGGCTACTGACTTTTGAGAACTGAGGTGCGTTGATTGTTATCTGTTTAGTTTCCATGGGTTTTTGGAGAAACGGAAAAAGGATTTTGTTGGCATGCGGGTTTTTCGCTGTACATAAAAGGGCCGTTCTGTAAAAAAAGTGAAAGCCGTTTACAACACCCTGTAACGCCGAATTGGAGCGCAGCTCTTGAGGAGGAGGAGTGAAGGGTACTGAGGGGAGGGTAGACCCCTCCTCCTTCTCCTCCTCCTCCCCTCATTCTTTAATATGCTCCGGGGGGTCACGTGACCTCGGGAAGGGGGAGTCACGTGACTTCGGGGAGGGGAGGTCACGTGACCTTGGGGGTCACGTGACCTGGGGTGGCCTTGGGGGTCACGTGACCTTGAGGTGACCTTGGGAGGGGTAACGTGACCTCGGGGAGTCACGCGACTTGGAGGGGTCACGTGACCCCTCCAGGTCACGTGACCTTGGGAGGGGTCACGTGACCTTGAGGTGACCTTAGGGGGGGGTCACGTGACCTTGAGGTGACCTTGGGGGTCCCGTGACCTTGAGATGACCTTGGTTACGCCGACGCCGCTCAAGCCGGAAACGGGCGCCTAAGAGCTGCGCTCTAGAATTTGCAGACGTGTTTGAGAAGGCACGTCCGTCCCGGGTCTGCGGGTTTTCTCAACGTGAGACTTGCTTCCCTTCGTTGAACACTTCAAGTATCGTCGTCATGCAGAGTAGAAGGCCACCAGGATGGGACGCAAACGGAAAGCTCTGGGTGACTACGCTAAGGAGTATCCAGACTTCGACACATGTACGGACCCTTTGTCCATGGTCTGCAAGTACTGCAGAATCACGGTAAGCCTCAAAGATGGAAAAGGGGCTACAAGGATCACCGAGCACATAACATCCAACCGTCACGTCCAGCTCAAGAAACCACGTCTTGATCCAAGTAACTAAGTTTTTCCTATGTCTCCATTTCGTTTACAGTGAGAAAGACTAGTGCAATGTCTCACTTTTATGAGAGCAGGCCGTGTCTTGAAACGTTTCTATAGTTTGTAATTCTTACTCGTTTCAGCCGAGAGTGCTCAGGTACCCTATTAAAGCTCTTTGAAGGAATGCATCACACGTGTCTCAAGGAAGAAAGATGATGCCGACGACGTGGCGCACGGATTTTGCAGAGCTCTCTGCAAGGCTGGCATCTCTCTCAAGAAGACTGATAGACCCCTTGGAGAACTCTTCCGAGATATGTGTCCCGCAGCACGTACAATGCCGTCTGCTGCCATGATGTACCGCAAGTACTTACCCGACGTATTCGCAAGGGATTTGTCTGCGGTTCAGCAACAGTGAAAAAATCATCCTATTTCTCTCATAGTCGATGAGACGCCAGAACTCCGTGGCCGACCAGCGGTTGTCGTGCTCGTAACATTCTTTGATTTTGAGCTCCAACGAAAGAATTTTATGGCAGATCTCCAAGTGCTCCAGCAGTGCAACGCCGTTGCCGTTGGGGTGCTTGTTCAAGAAGTTCTAGGGAAGCTTCGGAAGCGTTTTCGCAATCTGTGCGTCCTTTCTTCAGACTCGGCGTCGTACATGCATAGGCTGCACAGAGACCTTCAGCTCTCTCAACCTGACTTTATAGCACCGTACTTTAAGGACCCTTGTCATCTTCTCAACGTCACTCTCAACGAAGGCATGAAACTGGTTGAGTTCGGGGCTGTTCAGGACTTTGTCGTCCACTTCCCTGCCCTCCTGAAAAGTTCGCGAGAGATACGGCGTAAGTTCAACGTGCTTTGTCAGTCCATAAGTCTTGAACTGAAGTTCCTCTCCACTGTGAGCCCCTCGTGGTGGTTTTCTTTTTACGAGGCACTCGCTGATGGTGTTGCATCACTGGCGCCCAATTTTGTCCTTTCTGAAAAGTAGTGATGCAGTTAGCGAGAAGTGCAGGAAACTCAAAGTGCTTGTCTCGGATCCCGAGTCTTCACAGGAACTTCTCATCAAGATGACTTTCATTCACGAGACATCAAGTTCACTACAAGCTGTCATGAAGGTTCTTGAGTCCGAGAAAACTTTGGTGTACGAGGTGTATTCTCTTCTTTTTCGTAAAACTTGCAGCTTTGTTGAAAAGATGGAATAGCATGCCAACAGAAAGCTATGGCAGTGCTGACCTACTTTTGAACATGACTGAAGAGGCTCTAAGGTTAAAGCTTATTGATTCCTCCTCTGCCTACTATCAGATGATTCAAAGCAAGTCGTTTAGGACTGTTTCCCGAAACATCTCTGATGACTAAGATTTCATGGATAAATCGTCGTTCTGGTTCCGCGTGCAAATTGTTAATCCGTGCATAAAAGTGGAGCTGCCAGAGGGATTTGTACCTTATGAAAGTATCTATCGGCTGGTCCTTCGAGATGAGCGCAAGCTGAGTTACCTAGAATCAGAGTTTCTTTGTTACCGCCAGTATGCAGTGACTAGCACCGTTGATCCAGTGTTATTTTGGAAACTTCATTTACCTGACTGGCCACTACTGTCCCAAGCCTCGCTGGATATTTTGGGATTTCCTGTGTCCAGTGCAAATGTGGAGCGTGCGTTTTCAAAATTGCGGGTTGTGAACCGCAAGGAATGTGCTGCCATGACGGATGCAAGCCTCTCGAAGTATGCTTGCATCTGCTATAATAACCAAGTGTGAGAAATAGATGCTTCCTCGAGAAGAAGTGTACGAAATATGTGAATAAAATTGGAACTCTCTTGTCTGTGATCAATCGCATTCTTTCCACCAATAATCACCGATTTTAGTCTCGTTGTGAGACGTTCCACCGAGATACACCGCAGTTTTGAAAATAAATAAACACCAAAAAACATCTGCCGATTTTTCTCACAAATAAACACCGGAAAGTAAACACCCTAGTTATAAGTAGGGTTCCAAGTTTTCAGATAAATCCCCAAAACTCAAAGAAACACCCCCCGCTAAATTTTTGTCAATTCGGATTTATCCGATAAACTCCAAAGTAAGATGTGCCATTCCCGACCCCCCCCCCCCCCCCTCTTACAAAAAAAACCAGATGGTATTTTACATTTTGATAAGCGCAGGGTCAATCGTTCTGGGGAAATGCCACTATAATTATCTTTCAAATCTCAGACCATTGTCAAGAAAGGTCTTACTGCTATTCTCGTCAAGGTTCATTCGGGACAAGAGCCACTGTTTTAATTTCCTGTTTGGGCCATACTATTTGTGCTTTAGAGAAAAGAGAGATTGCGTATTTGTAATAGCGAAAGCTATGGACCATAGAGATTGCACAAAACTGGGAAGAGGGGCAGTTGAAACTTCTCTATTACATCCTTAAAGGGCCCATGAAACAAATTTTCGTCTGGGATAAATGAATTAAGATTGGCATTTTACTAATAGCATATCGTTTAGTGGGCCAAAAGAAAGAAGGTAGAATGTCAAAAGCCTGATTTTTGGTACGAAAATTTGAAAACACAGCAGACTATTTCGTACCTCCTTCCAGGCACGCAGCCAGAATTTTGTTTCGGGGGGGGGGGGGGGGGGGGGGGGGGGGGAAGGGAGGGGGGGGGGGGCCACCTATGACAAAATGCTGTATGAGGGGGAGAGGGGAGAGGAGGTCCCAGCGAAATGGAAGATTTCGGGGGGGGGGGGGGGGGGGGCAGGCCCCATGGGCCCCCCCCCCCCTGGCTACGTGCCTGCCTCCTTCTCTTCGTAAGCTTCCTGTCTTTCCACTGTGATACATCTGCAGTACCCAAAGCACGTCACTGGGCCCAAACGCACACCACACGAAGCCGGACCTCACTTATTCCCTCCACTCCTAAGCTGCCGGTGTGGTGGAAGCTATGTGCTTGCTGGACCAATCAGCCGCCTCCTTTTCATCACCTGACCTCATTCCCTGCACGTGGGTATGCGCGAGGGAGCGTATAATCATGTGGCAAAAGTGTGGCCGCCCAACGATCATGGAGCTCCCACAGCACTATCAGCTTCGGGGTGAGTGGGGTGGGGAAAACACTTCTGTTCCAGTTTTGAGCTACAGGCTAATCTTCTAGGAAGAGCCATTTTTCATGTTGGATTTAGAAGAATGAAATGGAGTGGGAACGGGCCCAATGTCTCCATTCTGAAGAGTAGAAAAGAACAGAATTGCCGGAAACTAATTCCCCAGAATGGAATTGGAAAGGAATGGGGGCGCCCATTCCGCAATACCGCTTAGGATTATCCTTGACGTCCATAACCTATCAAACATGCATTAGCTTTTCTCTCCTTGCAATGGCCAATGCAGAAAATACAAAAAAAAAAGGCAATGTTTAGTCCTTTAACCCCCAGCCAGAACAAGCGACCATATGATCTGGTGCTGATTATGTGCTGCCAACGTTTATCATAGCCCCGCCCTGGGGTTGGCAAAGCACAGGGCACATGCTGAGCTCCACACATAGTTTTGCTAGCTGTCGTCGTTCTGCAGCGATTGGGCACGAGCAACTGCCCGAATGTTTGTCGAGGCATTGATTGTCTCAAACCCAAGTCGAGTGCTCACAGAGCGCTTGTGCCTAATCCACGAGCCGCATTAGACTCCTGTCAACAAGGGGTAATCCCTGCCACCACACCACCGAGTTTCGCAAGGAAGAGACCGAAAGAAATCAAAAAGAAAAAAAAATTGGGTTGTGTGTGTGTTTATACAGCCTAGAACTTGGTCTGCCTCACAGGGGCGACGAGTCTCCCAGCTGTAGATGAGAAATTTAGCCAGTGCGGTACAGCCGCTAGCCTGGGGTCTTTAACGTGCATCGCGCAGTAGTGATACACGACCGCACGCCGGTACGATGCTCATCCAGATCGAAACGGGCAGGGGTGGGGCTCGAACCCAGGATCCCTGGGTTCTGCAGCGCGAGCTTTCGCTCCACGTGCTCCGAGCTGGTGTGCGAAAGAAATCATGTGCGAGTATACCCGGATCATGCAGGTGTCAATATTCTTTGTTGTAAGGTGAGCAATATTTCAACCATATATTGTTGCATTGACCCTTTAAGGTAGACAAGGTGTAGGCAAGCTAATTTAACAACCAAAGCCTGGCCTTACAAAGGGGACGATGCAATAGAGGAGAAGCGGATAGAGACTCATGCCGACTCGTCCCCCTTTTCTGACCCCACCAAAAAGTGTCAAAATCCCACCACCTGCAACTGCAAACAAGGCTTTCTCAAACAAAAAAAAAAAAAAGAACTTTTATATTTCACATTCAAGGTGCTTATGAATTGCTGCTTTGGCAAAATTTCAGATTCTACCATGATTGTGCCATCCCCCACCAGGGACCCTCAGTATAAAAAAATTACGTCCAAACAAATTTGAGCTCTGCACTCGGCGTCACACGATCGTGAATCGACTTCAAGAAGACGCATTCTCTGGCCGAGTGTGATCATACACGGGAATGAAGGGAGACTGACCTTGAGAAACAGTTCCCCCGATCTTGACCGAGGATTGTGGTTTGGGCAAACATGACGCCGTCGACGTCACCTCCTGTTTGGCCATCACCTTGGCGTGTCCTGCACTGGCCATGTGGTCCCTGTAATAAACATTGTCACAGAGAGTCAGAGGTGCCCCTCATATTTCTGTGCAGGGCGTTTCTCGGACGCAGGCCAAATCACGTCTGTAAAAAGCATGTATTTAAAAAAAAAAAAAAAAAAAGGCTGATGTCATATTGGTTTCTGCCAAATGGCCCATTTAAGAAACTGAATAAACTTTGGTATAATTAGGTCCTTAAAGGGGCGGTGCAACGATTTTTGAACTTTGGCCAATTCACTGCGAGAATTAATCTTTGTCACCTATGGAATGAAATATAGAAAAACACATTTTCTTGCATGCACTAGTTTTTATTTTTAAAAAAACTAAACAAACCAAAGGTCGAAGTGCTTCCCTACTCTCATGTCGTCTTTCGAGTGACATACTCCGAGGGACCACCTGGTTTCCCGTTGGGTTCTTTCTTCAGCAACCCCAGTCACTTCCTCCGCAGTTGTAGACTTCTCGAGGATTAGCATCAACAAAGGTCACGGCGGGCGATCGACGCAAAAGACGGTTCGCCATGGGGCTGACGGCTAGTGTAGGAGCGGAGAGGGACAGCTCTTGTTGACTTAAAACATCTCCCCCGGAGACTTGTCACCACAGTTCCTGCAACGGCCACACACGGCTGCAAGTCGGCAAATAATTTGTTTTTTTTCCTTCGCGATTACACGACAGAATAGCAGTTTTTCGGGGCAAGGCAGCACACTTTTTGTTACATTGTGCCTAGATAAACAATATAAAAAATACAAACTGCAAATTCTTTCAACATTAAAATCGGTGCAGCACCCCTTTAATCATTCTCAAGTAATTAACTTTTATACTCCGTTTCAGGCTAACAAAAGTAAGACCAGCTCCTCCTTCAAAGCCCCTAACTCTTTCCACTTTCAGGAGTGAATGTTGGAGAGGAGAAAAGTTCACCCCACCCCCCTCCTTTGCAGCGCTTGCTCGCTAAAAGTGGAAAGACTGGAGGGCGTTGCGGGAAGAGCTTGTTCGACTTTTCTTAGCCTGCAACATGTTATAGTTGGCAAACTTAAAGACACGGTTTCAAATAGAAACTTTCTGGGCACCCTCGAAGAACCCCAAACCAACGCACTCCGCAAAAAGTCCCGAAAACACATTCGATTTGGACGCGTCCTAAAGTTCCGGTGTCCCGTCAAAACACACCCCCCGTGCCAACAGTTCGTGGTCAAAGTGCTCAACTGATGTGTGCCACCAGGCACTCATGGCACGACGGGAGAAAACCCGAGAATCGAAGCTTACTTTTGCAATGCCATTTGGCCAGCACATAATTGTATTGTTTTGCCGACTCGTGCCACACTTCCTTTTTCCCTACGAGGGAGGTGAAGGGGTAGTCGCATGTCATGGTTTCTAGGCTAGGCGGCACAAGCTACCACCCCTTATGAAGGATACAGCCTTTAGCATCCATCTATCCGTGGTCACAGAGGCCAGACCACTCGTGCAATATGGACCCTAATTGTGAAAGACGTAGGCTGTATCAACGTTTACGACAAAGAAGGAGCGGCTGAACATCACCAACAGCATGTTCTTCCAGCAATCCAAGGATGATCCGAAGCGTGGTGGTATGCGGAGTGCAAGTTTTTCTGCTTCTTGGACAGGGGTTGCGAAGATGTCAGAATGCCGAGCTCTTATTGGCTCAATGAAAAAAATAAATGGGTAGACCTTAAGGCATCCAGCATTGAGGTCTACCCCCTGTCCTTTCAATCAAAACCAATCAGAGCTCGATGTCGGTCTGACGTCACCGCAACTCTTGCGAAAGAAGGAGACGACATGCTCTCTGCATAGTTCCAACGACTTTTGTGTGCCATCCTTTGCGGTGCTCCGCAGCTATGTGCGACTTGTATAGTGACTTTTTTGTAAACGTGAGCGTTTAGTTAGGAATGCGACTTATAACACCGAAAAATATGGCAGTACCTTTTTTTTTTTACATATCGAAAGCTCAGAAGCAGGAAAGAAAATGGAGTTTGATTGCCTGTAGGGTGCAGGACCCGTGAAGGTCATCCCGCAGGGCAGGCAGGCTTCAGGCGCAATGACGGAAGACCCCATCCGGACCTTACGCTTGTGGCGTTCCGACGCAAGGTGCTGATTGTAGGGCTCCGGACCCGTGAATGTCATGCCACATGCTTGGCATGAAAAGGCCGGTGTGCTCATGGCTGCAAATGTCCGTTTCCTGCTGGGAACAGAGCACCCCGAATCACATACAGCTGTAAGCTAAGATGTATGCGCCATTAGTGGTATATCTCTGAACAGGGTGGGTACATCAGTGAATATCCCCTATTCGCTGCTGTGAAATTAGACAGTTGTAGTGGACCGTACACTAACCTTTAGCATACGCAAAGAAATAGTGAGTAACGAGTGCGCATGCGCAGAATGCAATAGAAGGGCTAGCATACTGCGTGCGCACACAACGCTGGGAATCTTGCGTTGCGGGTTAGCGGGCTTTGTACGAAGCTTTCGAGAAATCTCGAGTCCAGCGAGAGCACCACTTTTAAAATGGTGGTTACTTCGACTGGCGCAGCAAGGGCGACGTGGTGTTGGCGAAGTTCAGTGTTACGTGAAATTGTGTGGTGTTCAGCACGGAAATTCTTTCCGGGACCCACCGCAATTGAATCAGATCCTTGTGCAGCTGAAGGAGTGCATTCTTTCCGGGACCTACCGCAATTGAATCAGATCCTTGTGCAGCTAAAGGAGTGCATAGTGGTAAAGTTCACTGCTCACAATGTGCGTGAACACTGCGATCTACTCAATGCTAAGCCTCTGCTCGCAGTTCATCGCCGACAGACGAAGGACTCTTAAAAAATCGGCAAAATGTCGCTATGCACTGGATAGATATGTTCCGCAGTAGGTCATAGATTTGTTCCCGCGATAGCATTGATAAAAGGTGCCATTTCCACAGGACCATTGATGGAGGCTCAGTGATCGAATTTGGCTGCGTACTCTTACTCATAGCCCGCAGAAAAGCGCGCTTGACCAGGCAGCTGCGGCTTCGTATAATTTGAAATAAAATTATTTTAAACGTTTTCATTTACAATATTTATTCCAGGAGCATGGCAGTGCTACAAGCACGCAGAATTCTACGGCTCTGGCAAATATAACCAAAATCATGCAAGGTGTTCACCTGGCAACGTAACGCAAAACTAAAGTCGGTTCAAGCAGGTTGTTTTTTAGTGTACACTATACTATTGTGTACGCAAGAGCCAGCAACGCTATACTAAAACTGTCTATTACTTTTAAGATTGTCCCGTGGTAACCTAATCTGCGAACCACTTCGCTGGTCCCAACAATTTAAAACAAAAAAAATATATATACGAGTGATGCTATACACACAATGTCATGCACCTTGACCGGAAATGGCGATACGCACGACGCGGAAAGTGCATGCCGTTTTGGTTGCCCTCTTTGGAAGCACAGTGAGGGTCAGTCCGTGCATCACTGGGGAGCGTGCTAACTCACCCCACCGCCTGCGTTCACACCAATTCGCCGGCCAAAGTCTGCAGCAGCTCGTTCCACAAATATTAACCCATTTGGCCCACCTTTACACGCCGCTTCGCAGTGGCCCAAGCCCCGCTGTCCCCCATTGCACCTCCAGAAGGGAAGCCCCATACCATTTACTTCGGTGACGTTTCGTCGACATTTGTTTTTTATAGTGATAATTGTAAAAAAAAAATGCCCCAATATAGCCATGTTTCACAAAAAAAAAAAAGTATGCTTGGCATCTTTTGGACTGAACCTGGGTCCGCTGCGTGGGAAGCGGACACCTTTCCACTAAGTTACGCTATAGCTTTAGATACTCGTTTTGTTGTTTTATACGAGACCAAAGAAGTTTTGCGTCGTACGTATAGCCATTTCCGGCCGAGGTGTACGATGTCATGCGTATAGCATTACTGTATACATGCCTTGCACCTGACGTCATTTTGTCCGCTCCCCGGCAACCACAAGTGAAGTGGGGAAGGAGAAGCTCTCTTCTCACTGGGACTCTCCCTTATGTGTCCCAGACTTGCCCAGATATCCCTATTCTCCCTCTAGAAGATTATGGACCAACTTGTTTACAAACAAACCGGAGGACCCCTAGCAAACGCCACCGGCACCGTGCATATGCGATGGTGTGTGGGCAAAAACTCGCCGTCGCCATAAACAAACCATTGGAAGGCGATCTTGTCGGCGTCGGTGTGAGTCTCCGTGCACTTTTTCACATTTGAATTGTTGATTTTACCTACGCCTTCCTGGCAATGTCCGACTACTTGAGCAACCTCAGCGAAACTACAGAGGCTCGTTACACCGCAAAACTTTGCGTGAATAATGTGACATGCGGCGATTCATTCCGCGTGGACGCCGCACAATGGACGCTAAAGCCCGATTCGCATGATGAAATTTCGCACGCAATTATCAGTCGCAACATCGCTCGGGCTGCAAAAGCGTGAACCGTAGCCGAGATGGTCGACGTCGATACTGAAAATCGCAAGCAGAATCAGACCAAGGGAATCAGGCGTAACAATTCAGTGGTGGCCACTGGTAACAATGATCAACATCTCCTTGGATCTATTGTTTACACCGAGCCTCCTTACTCCAACACTTTCAAAATTAAGTCTTTTGAGGCCTGCACTCACTTCTTATCGCAATTACCGGGCCAACGTTTGGTCTACGGGCCGGTGTCATCTGAAAAAGCAGACGACTAGCAGAAACTTTTGAAGGAGCAGACAACAGTTCAAACAATCAGGAGCCGTTTAAAATCGAAGACGCACTGAATGTAGTCCGCAGGTGGTCTGTACAACTTGACGGTTTTCCCACGTTCATGTTGGAACAAAACAAATAAATCTGACGACCACAAGTATCTGTGAATTGCCCCCAAAGTGCTTCCCGCCCAAGCAATCGTGGTCGGACGGCGTCTGGTTTTCCCTTTTCACGGCACATATCCACGTTCTCGGTCAAACCGAGCACATGAAAACTGGCCTTCAAACCTTTCTCGACTCTTTTGGTACAGCCCCCATCGCGGCGTTTTGACTAGGGAGGTTTTTGTCTGGTTTCTTCCAAACAACACAGGAATGCATGTCCTGCATGGTGCCTTCCGCCCACAGGCCCAAACTGCAGCCACGCCGTGAGGATTAACCTGTCACTCAAAATATGTGTTGCGTCGGCCGCCATTTTCCCATTAAAATTTTCAAAAAATCAGCGTGAAGAAAACCTTGTATTGTTTTATTTTTTTTAACGCCCTGTAGATATATACATATAGATAACTAATATTTAATTTAAATTTGGTTCTCATATTCCATGTTTGGTATCGGTAATTCATGGAAGTGTTCGTACCACGACCAGCTTTATTAGGGGCGACCAGGTCACCCGAGGCAGCGCGAGCGCGCCGCATTTGCTTGTTTAGTACTTTCTCTAGTTTGCTAAACGGCCACCGCGTTTTCTGGCTCTGTAGCTCACCACACTAGCAGACGCTTTTGCCAGTGTACCTGTGCGTGTCCGCTCCACGACCGGCAACGTTTTGAGGATAATCGGCTGTATTTTAAGGACTTTTCTCATCGTTATTGCGATTGCACGTTTGATAAAAAGCTACAAGCTGATCTAGATCGCATTCTTCTCTGGTCAAACGATAACAAACTTCCCCTGAACTAAACCAAATGTGCTACCATGCACCTCACTGCCTCGCACCAACCTTCGACCCCTCCAACACTTTTTCTGGACCGAGTGGAGATCCCAAGAACAACGCATATCCACCTCCTAGGTGTCATCATCGACCAGCATTTCGATTTCCACCGCTATGTCCAAAACGCCATGTCCGGGGAAAGGTGACTCCTTGGCTTCGTCACTTGGTCCAGTCCCGATGTGCCCAGATTGCTGTTCATAGCACTGGTGTTGTCCATCCTGGAGTTTTGCTGTTCAGTGTGGGAATCGGCAACCAGGCAACTTGTTGCCTCCCTTGGGTCGGTGCAACGTCACGCTTCCTACCTTATTATGAGACGTCAACTTGGCCTCCAAACACCATCCTATCGAGCACTGACCTCCTCCGTTCAGTCAGCAGGGACCTGCTTCAACATCGACATGAAGTAGCGACCACGCAACTCCTAGCCACTTTTCTGGTACCGGACTCCTCGCTTCCTTTTGCCTTCTCCCTGCAGCGTACTCGCACTGTTGGACTGCAGCCCCTTTTAATCCGTACGCTTCGTCACTAGAACTCCTTCGCACCCCGTGCAGTGTAACTTTAAAGAACACCCCTCTCGCCAGTCACCAGTTCCCTACCAATCAACAGTGTCTCACTTTGAACATTCACCAAGAGCGTCACGACCCACCTGCGGAACATCTAACCCTACTGATGCTTAGCTCACAATACTAACTATTCTGCTCGAGAAAATTATAATATAGTGACTCATTTTAACTCACTCTATTCACACTATGTGCTAGCATTAGCGTCTGCCTATTAAATGCGACAAAAATCATCTGAAACCAAAGTTATTTCAACACGTTCCCATTGTCCTCCATAGCGGCCGCCGCGCTTTTGGTGTTGAGCTAGGGCGGCGCCTAGCAGAACACTCAGCCCCTCCAAGCCGTTCATGTGATATTTCTTCGCCCGCACGCTCCCATAGAGAAACGCGGAGTGACCTGCTGGTCGCCCCTATAAAGCCAGTCGTGGTTCGTACTAAGTTTTCTGGAGAGCAGGGTGTGGGGTTGGAACGACCGCGGAAAAACAAACTATGCGAGCGATATTTTACAGCCGTGAAGTATACGGCTCAAGACATTACTTACATTAAGCGTTTCACGACGACGAGAAGAAAGTCTACCTGGTTTGGAATCTAACACGACTGTCATAGAGATATTCCGAAGATTTGAAAATTGACAAATGACTCCGAATGTCGATCGCGCCCATCGAACAACCAAACGGCGAACCGAGCGAACCGGCGAACTGGGCAAACTGCAAAGCACATGTGGATTGGATTGGATTGGATTGTGGTTTTTGCACCATTCAAACTAAATCAGCTAGTGAAAATATTAGTTTGATACCCTGCTCTTCGATACTTGCAGCTTAAAACAAATATTCATATATTTTTTTCTCTAAATGCAAGTTACTTTCTTGTATTTGTAAATCAACATTCCTTCTTTATATTTTGTCTTTAAATACATGATATCCGGCGAACTTTCGGCCATCGTGACAGGGAGCCGAAAACACTTCCGGTTTGGTTTTTGTTTGTCCGCTGGAGCCTGGCTGGAGCTAGAGCACTATATAGCTCCTACGGAGCAGAGTAGCGCAATCCTTTGAACCCCGTGTTTTGCCGACAACATGGCCGACAGAGCAGCTCGGCGCGAGTCACGTGGTACTCAGGGTTCCAGGAGGCGGCCAGCCCTATGGGAGAATACATGGAGATCGACACAACACGGCTGATTAAAAAATGAACGGCGAGTTCACACTTTTCAAAACTAGTGTGTCGTGAAGGTAGTAAAGCACTAAACATTTTATCAAAGTTTTAATAATATCGGATGCGTGTGCAAATTTTGAGAAGGCAATTTCCAAGGCAATGGCGTTTGAAGCAGACGATTTTTGCTCGCAGCGGAGATGGGCTTTTCGGGTTGGCCGGAGCGGGTCACGTGAATGGTGTGACGTCGCCGTGTCGTCTGCTGCATGATGCCGCTCAGGCAATTTTTAAAAAAAAGTCACGTCCTTGCGGGGCACAAAACTTAGCGCAAATTATTCTAAAATGTTCCATTATTATGTCAAAAATGATTGCCATTCCGTACATCCCCACAATACTGAAGAAATAACGATTTTCTCACGTTCTCCATGCATTTCTGACCGCAGTTGGAACCTCCGGGTGTTCGCCACTAGTCGCCGAGAGGCGGCGTTCTAGATTGCGCTACTCTGCTCCGAAGGAGCTATATAGTGCTCTAGCTGGAGCAATATTGGCTGGAGCCACTGCCTTTTGTTTGCCCTGTGTTCCGCAATTAATTAAATCGGTCCCTTTTTTATGTTTTCTGCTCTCGCTGGCTTCTTGAAGTGCTGCAATGTCATTCAAAGTATGAAACTTTGCCGTGCAGATCTGCGCGACATAAAATATGCAACGACCCGCGACTCCGCGGGAGATGTCGATGGCGACAGCGTACGGGCGAGAGGGAAAGGCTTGGGAACCTTGGGAAGCATAGTGAGCGCGGTGAGCTGGTGGTTTGGCCAGGCCAGTTTGGCGTTGCGTCCTTGCGGTGGGGAGACCGTAAAGCCTGGTTCAGACAGTTGCGTTTGACTGCGTTGCGACCGCGAGAAACCAGGACATCGCTGCTGCTTATATCGCGTGCCAAGACAACTCCTTGAATTGGATTCCACTCTTCATACGAAGCACAGATGTGCCGGTGACTCGCTTTCGGTTCTCGACGCAACGCAGGCAAACGCACTCAAACGCAAGTCTCTGAACCGGCCTTGAGGCCCATCGAGGGGGGCTCGTGGTCGGCTCTGACTGTAACGACGTGGGCTCGCTCACAGCGAAATAGGTGAGAGTAATAAGCATATCACGTAAAGGAGCTGTGCAACGATTTTAACGTTGAAAAAATTCACATCTTCTGCTTTTGATATTCGCGACTCCAGCGACCTATAGACGCTTTGCAGCAGCTGTGCATGGACGCCGCCATAACTGACCTTCAGTTTTTGTTTCCTTTTATTTCGTTTATTTCACTTCATCATCACCATAGTAGGCCTGGTTATTGCCACATTGGATTCAAGTGTGCCCTTTTCTAAAGCATCGGCCTTTGTAGGGGATCGTCAACTATGGTTTCAGTTGGTCGGCATCTCGGTAAGACAAGAGAAGGTCAGCAATGGCGGCTGTAATTTGGCGCGTGTGTAAAGCGTCTATAGACCTTTCCAGCGGCAGTCTCGAACGAAGCGATTTACAGCGCGTGTCCCTGGTTTTGAGAGTGCACGTCAGTGTTGCCCGACTGCGCTGAGCTGTGGAGTTTCTCGTCAGTGGGCCGTGGCAGCCTGCGTTGGCGCGATTCCGGACGCTGGTGGCGACTGAATTGCCACGTTTTCTTTTTTATCTTGTGTTCTGTGGCGAGCATAATTTATAGAGGTCTTTAAGAAAGCAGTGCTCTATTTTTGGGAACAAAAACAAAGAAATGAAAGCTGTTTTGGTGAGTCCGTGCGCGACAGAATAAATGCAACTGGAATGTTTGTTTAATTTATGTTCATTGTTTTACGGCACCGTACACTCAGCCGTGCCAATCTATATAGGTCAAAATATTTGACCACACAGGATATCCGTACTGCATGGATATTCCCCGCCCACAACATAAAATTTAACGAGTCTCATCACTCGAACAAAAAATATATTGTACGTACCCCACGGTGCCGCGTTATCCGAACAGGATTTGAGAAAGAGGTCGACGATAGTCACTTCACGACAATCGGACGGAATCCGGCGTGTTCTGGGGAACATGTAGAAGAGAGCTCCTTTTTTGCACAGCTCCATAGCAAATGAACGAACGTGCTTATTCCGTCGCCACACCCCGGACCCGACCCTATCAGCTAGTTTTTGCGAAGACCCGGAACACAGCCTGGAAGGCTTTTTGGAGATTATCTCGACGGAAATAATCCTCCAAGCACGTCGAACTGCCTGCGTCGCGGGCTGCTTGACATTCGCTCTCTTCGTTCGTTTCCTGCGAAGGCCGAGCGGGCTACGAGCCCTGGCATTCCCTGGTTCTCACAGTGGAAGATAACATACAAAGGGTAAGCATCCTAAACAGGCGAATAAAATAAAACCTTCCAAGAAAAGCCGACGAACTGTGAATGCAAAATGCAGGTGGGGAGTCGCGCTGACCGGGTTTCCACAGCTCAGGCGGGTGCAAGAAATTTCTGGCTGATAGGGGTCGCTCGATTCGCAAAATGGCGGCGGCCAGAGCGCTCTTTCTGCAAAGGTCTATAGGGGGCGCCACCACAAAACAAACATGGCGGCTGAGTCCAGGTCGCGGCGGCTCGGCCGGGCCGCCTGAACAGGTGGCGCGTTCAATTTAACAGATTTTCTTTTGTTTAATGCCCAATTTTATAGGTATTTGAACTGAGACGGTTAAGTGTAGCCGGTGCAGATAAACTTGCAAAGCATAGTTTTGTTTTGCCGGTGTTTTTTTGTTCTTTTCGTGTCAAACTTTCGTTTCGGAGATTTCGTTCAAAACCGAAACTATGGGCTCCGGAGAGACGGTAATATACTAATCAGTTTTGATCATCTAAGGAAAGCGGCGATGACTATTGGGGAGGAGATCGAACAGTCACGCCTCTAGCGGCACGCTTCAGCTGTGGGGGCAACAAACCGAATTTTCTTGTTTGTTTTTGATCAGCGATATCGAAGATGACGATTCGAAGGCCAGCATTGGTCAGAGCGAAGCGCTCGTGTCCAGGCCGTGCATGACGAGGTTCAATTTCTTTGTTATGCTGTGTTAGTAAACACCGGGCTGTGGGGACAACAGCCTCGATAAAGCGCCCCCAGTAGTTCGATCTCCTGCCCAATAGAATTGTTCCACAGAGAGTAACTTTTCAGCTAACTCGCATGCCTCGACCATGCGACTTATCTGTCCGCGAAATCGAGCTTTTATGCCTATCCGCGTTGACGAAACAGCTCCAGTCGTCTGCTCGGCCAACAACACAGGCTGCAGGAAAATTACGAAAATTAAGCAACCGCTTCTTGAGCCAAGGACCAAGTTAACCCGCCGGCGCCCCACTAAGCAGCTGATACTCGTATTTCAATTCAGGTTTTAGTAGCAATCAGAAGTCATTTTGACGAGCGGGTTATGTATTATATTACGTACATGGTCCCACTAAAGCGATATTAGTATATCCTTCGGGTTAAAATATGAGCTTAGTTGACTAGCTATTAGGTGAGCTGCTGAATAAAAGTATATTTGACAGACGGAGACATACTACTTAAACTTAGCCAAATGGTTCTATAGCCGACAGCACGAAACAAACTGAAGAGAGTCTTCATTGAGGATCCACGCAGAACCTCTCTGCATTGAACTTTGCTTCGACCAATGTAGACGTATATTGCTGCTGGCTTCGACGTCCTCGTAATATAAATATTGGAGGCGGGATAGGTCAAAATGCCGTGACAGCATCTAACGTTACGAGACTTGTCTCCCACCTTTTGAAAACAGATAATTTCCCTCGTTTATCATTTGCAGCGAGCAAGTTTTCCTGAATCAAGTAATTGTGAAATCAGCCCAACTCCTTCAGTCTGGTCCAGAGGCTTTTTCGGCGAAAAGCAGCCAAGATGAATAGCCAACGCACCGACCGGCGTGGGTGGCTCAAACTTGAAGCTAACCGAACACAACCAAACTCAAGAAAAGCAGCTATCGAACCTTCCCATTCACTTGACTGCAACATTGGTGTTCCCTCCAGTATCAGTTACCAAGCAGTCGTCACTTTGAATGATATTCGAGACAGACAAGAAGTCAAAAAGTTTTTCCGTGATTCCTCCCCATCCAAGAAATCGAAAGCACGCGACCGTGTGCTGTGGAGTAAACGGGCTTTCAAACACGTAATAGAAGAAAACAATCTACTGAGGCTTCACCACACTAATGATCACTCAGGCAAACTTAAGAAATATTCGGACCTTCGTCAAATTACATTGTTCGCCACCGCGCCGACAACACGTCTCCGCGAAAGCCACCAGAGACGCGGAGGGGCGCGGAGCGACCTGGACCGGCTGGTTCCCGGTTTTCCCGCTTGGCGGCGTCCGTTTTGCTGGAGTCGCGAATTGTTCACCTTGTCACAAATGACACTGAGCACACCTCCTTTCATCGAAATGTTGCGATTCCGCCGCGTAATAGCGACGCAAAACTTAGAATATTCCCCGACCTGCAGCCGCGAGCGGCGACCATGAGAACCACGCGGCATGACGTTAATGGGGGTCTTGTAGAAAGATAGCAAGTTTTGCGAATACCTGCTCGATAAAAAGTAACTTTTC